ATATCTTTGAAGGCATTCGAATGTTTACAGTAATATATACAAGGGTCAAGTTGAGTGCCATATAATTTATATGTCGAACAGCCAAAGGCAATATTTATTGCTATTAAATTGTTAATAATAGTGCATTAGTGCGCGTAATTTAGTACAGAATTTGCTATAATGGATTCGAATTGATATTTTATTCTTTCTTTCATTGCCAGAAACCAACATTTCGTAGGTTTTTTATGCAAATTGAACGCGGCAAATTCAAACATTCAACGGAATTTTAGGCAAATGACTCAAGAACAGTTACACATTCTTTCGCAATTAAAGTGCTTAATTAAATAACAAGTCAAAATAAAATATTCTTACCTGTGAGATCTGAATAACATTTTAAGACCTTTCCGATGCCTTTTCCTTCGTTTGGGATAGCAAAAATTTGATAAATATACTGTAAATATGAACTGGAATTCAGTTAGCACTTTTAATAGCACAAAAAAAATTGAAATGACGCCATCCCATGAACCTTCGCGCTCTGATACGTAAACTAGGCACCAGGCCCCCAGACAATGCGCGAACTATTGCTGCTTGCATGTCTGCATTTTCAATCAGTTATTGACTGTTAATTTTATCTATAATAAATTGTCGAAAAGTTAAGAAAATTCTCTGCAATTATTAAATAAAACACGAGAAAAATTCAAACTTTAGAATGTAAATTAGAATGTATAGTATGGTATCAGGGGGCGACGGAATGTAGGTGAAAGATATCTTCTTTCCTGCAGGAGGGGGGCAAATGTAGCATTTTAATAAAAATAAAACACAATATTTTTCGCAAATTTACCTCAGGGATGGATCCAGCATGATCTAGGAGAGCGGTTGGGGGGCACCTCAAAAACAACTTTCTTTTTCAGACCTTTATCGACCTCAATGTTTCAGAATATTCCGTAATATTTAACAAGTTCCACAATTCCGGCATTCCGGGGCCCCCGAGATGGGGAAATTGGGACCCCTTTTTTGATTTTTCTTTGCACCCCCACACCTCCCCTCCCCCCAGTAAATCCATCCCAGATTTAACTTAACAAATTAATTAACAAAGATACTACGATAGAGGAGAATTCTTATGTTTAATTAATCTTGTGCACAGCCGCAAGTAATTCCGAGTTGTGAATTCTCTCCTGAGCATGCAAAAATGCAGGGACCGCGGAACAGGGGGAGGCGTGGGCCATGGCCGTATAAAATCTAGCCTGCGTGCGTGAGCTATTGCCCGTGCTATCCTGCCTCCCCCCCCCCACCCACACACACACACACACTTCAAAACAGGCTCCGGTCCCTGTGGAACGAGGTTGGGTCCCTGTAATACATATGCAGATTATTCTAGAAATAAGTGTTATACAATTAAAATGAATCTATATACAAAATATGTTATATATGTCTTTAAACACCAGAATTGAATGCCATTCTATAGTTCCTGTAGTTAAATTTTAACAAATTTTAAATTTTCTTTCCGTTCAAGAAAATTTAAGAAATAATTTCTTATGTTAAGAATTTGATTTCTTGTTTTAAGAAACTATTTCTTAAAACAAGAAAATCATATTTTCTTAAGAAAATGATTGATAAGAAGATGAAAAAATCGTAAGAAAACATATTCTTGTTTTAAGAAAACAAATATAATTCTTATGATAAGAATTTGATTTCTTGTTTTAAGAAAGTATTTCTTAGAACAAGAAAATCATATTTTCTTAAGAAAATAATTGATATGAAGATGAAAAAATGGTAGGAAAATACATTCTTGGTTTAAGAAAACAAATATAATCCAAGGTATGTTAAATTTTTTTTTCTTATTTCAAGAAAAAATATCTTGCCAATGAAATATTTCTTATTTAAAAGTCTATTTCTTATTAAGAAAATCCGTTTCTCGTTTTAAGAAATAATTTCTTAAATTAAGAATTTTTTTCTTAATAAGAAAATGATTTTTTGCTGTGTATAGGTGTGGAATATAAGTGCATTATAAGCACAAATTAATGTATCATGATCCACACAAGATTTTGGCTTTCTGATCGCCCCAATTCCGGATGAAATCTTCTTAGCAATTTTATCAATATGCTTATCCCACAATAGAAACTCGTCAATATGAACTCCAAGCGCTTTTGTTTCTTTGACCTTTTTAATTGGTGTATCACCAACAAATACATTTGGAGCAGCAAGTAAATTATTTATGTTGTACCGAGATCCTATTAGTAGATACTCAGTTTTGACTAGATTAAGAGATAATCTGTTTGCAGAAAGCCATTGTTTAACATTGGTAAGGTCATGATTTATGGCCACCTTTACATCTTGAATTGACTTGCCAGATACAGTTAGAGTCGTATCGTCGGCAAACATTGTTGTCGACGAGTTGCTTGCTCGAGTCACTATACCTAACCTTTCTTTGGGCTTAGAAAATTGATGATGAAATAGATAAAAGTAGGCAATTCTATAAGCAAGAATGTTGTCTGGAATTTCCAAAGTCCTCAAACTCCCTGTGTGGAAAAAACAATCTGACATATTTATTGATTAAAATTGGAAATTTCATCAGTGCGCGAAGCGCACGCATTGAAATTATAATTTCATGAGCAAACCGAAATAAGATATAATAGCGTATTCTCCCCGGCTTCCAGTTAATTCAAGCCCTTCAAAGTCATAACAAGACCCCCAAAAGACTCGTTCCCACGCTTCCCCTTCCTTCTCCAAAATGGATTGGAGTTAGAGAGCAAAACAAACGAGTCACAATCTAAAACAGGAACCTTTAATTTATTATACCGTTTATAACGTTGTTACACTGTTGTAATACACCGTGTATAAACATCAATATCTCAAACACGTAATATAAACTTTAACATGTACTTTAACATGTACTTTAACATGTACTTTAGCATGTACTTTAACTTGTACTTAAACATGTACTTAACATAGTTCATAACATAGCTATAACATATTACAAGAATCTGCACATCGTCACTACACTCCTCAGTTGCCTTTGGCACCTAGAGTAGCAAAAGCAAACCGAGAAATAAGATTGATATTAAATAATAGGAAATTGGGAGTGGCAGGGAGGGACGCTATTATATCTTATTTCGGTTTGCTCGTGAAATTATAATTTCAATGCGTGCGCTTCGCGCTCTGATGAAATGTCCAATTTCATTTCATGAACCTCCATAAGATATAATAGCGTATGTTTAAAGCATTCCGACCTGTTTGGAATACTGTTTCCTGGAAACCATCCTGCCCAACTGTTGCCTCAGCAGTTACATCCCTCAAATAGTGCCTTTTAATAGTGGATTCCTTCTTCCACTTAGCTTTATTCATATGATTTCCTGACACGAGAGGCCTTTAGCCTTGGCTTTAGAAGTAGAGGCACCCATGGTAGAGTGTGCACTAAATTAAGAGGTGTTCACACCTGCTTCACTCATCAGTCCTACCAACCAGCCTGCAATTCTACGGGGCACCACCTCCTTATGGGTCTCAACAAAGCTTAGCAATAACTGGGTCTGAGCTAATACAGAACGCCACCTTTTTGTACGATCCACATAGGAGGTAATGGCTGACACTACACATAACAAAGGGTCCGACTGGAAGGAATTAAGTATCAGCTTGATTGGTTTTTGCCCTTTTTTCCGTGACTTTGTTAGTGGACCAAGCTCAAAAATAATGCTGCTGTCAGTCATTGTCATGAATCTCAGATCAAGTGCTCGAAGCTCAGATGAACGACCTGCTGATGCAAGGGGGCCAATAACATGCTTACTTTAAATGTCAGTTGTTTGTCTGAAAAGTTACTGTAGCACTCCAAAGAGCATATATAAGTAAGCACTACATCAACATCCCACATCCTAGCGTACTTTGGTTGTGGTGGTCTGGCATTAAAACATGCATTCAACACCTGACAAACCAACTCATGTTGCCTGACTTTCCGTCCATCGACAGTCTTATGATAGGCAGAAATTGCTGACCTATGATTATTAATTGTGCGATAGCATCTACCTTTTTCAAACATGGTAGTTAAATAGTCAGCTACAGCGGCCACAGTGGAGCAAAATGGATCAATTTGTCTTTCAGTACACCAGCTACACCACTGTGACCAGGCACTATTGTAAGCGGCTGTAGTGCCTTTGCGCCAGGAGTGGGTGCTAAGTAGCTGGGCAGTTTGTTCTGAAACTCCTTCTGCAAGTATGGTTTTCCGGAAATCATCCAGGCCGCTAACTGCAGACTGCCTTGTTGCGCAAGAGGATGTACTTGCTGTCTGGGTGATGTTAGCAAGTCCTTGAGAGGAGGCAGTAAAGGACAGGACATTTCCAATAGAACTGACAGGACATTTCCAGTAGAACTGGGTACCATGCCTGTGTTGGCCAAGCTGGTGTGACCATAACAATGGTTGCCATGTCCTTCCTGACCTTTGCCAAGCAACGGCAAATCAGAGAGAAGGGTGGAAAGCAATACCCCTTCAGATCCGACCAAAGGATATGAAAAGCATCTGTTGCTGTGGCAAATGGGTCTGGAAACCAGCTCATAAAACTCTTCAGTTGGGTGTTGAGTCAGTTGGCAAACAGATCTATTTCTAAGGGTCCCCACTGGGTGTTCAGTGTTTGAAACACATGGGGATTCAATTTCCAGTCGCTCGAATCCTGATAATGTCGAGATTCCCAATCGGCTTCGTGATTGGATTCCCCCGGTAAATGCTCTGCTGTTAGGGAAATTTGATTTTGTAGGGCATAATCCCACAATTCTTGGGCAATGCGCTGTAGGATTGGAGACCGTGTACGCCCCATTTTGAGTATATAGGTAATAGCTGTTTTGTTGTCTATTCTTAAATGAACATGTAACTGGGTTTTCTTTGCATTGAAGGCCCTCACTGCAAAAAAGGCTGCCTTTAGTTCTAGGGCATTGATATGAAGTGAGGTGGCCTCCTGAGGAGTCCACAATCCCCTTGTATGAACCCCTTGACAAACTGCGCCCCAGCCCCTCATTGATGCATCTGTTGTTATCACCAGATCTGGGGCAGGAGCAATTATTGCTCGACCATTCCAGATGGAGATCTGATCGATCCACCATTGAAGGTCGTTGCGACAGTTCTGATCGAGTGAGACCATCGTCTCGTAGGATTTTCCCGTCAACAGACCTTTGATTTGTAACCGTTGCAGGTGTCGATAGTGCAAGGGTGCTGGGAAAAATGCCTGCATGGAGGATGTCAGCTTCCCTATCACCTTTGCTATTGTTCTGACCGAGGACACCTGTTGTTGAATCAGATATCGGCAAGATTGCACAAGATGATTCATTTTGGTTTCTGGTAATGACAGCTTCATCTCTAGAGAATTTATCACAAATCCTAGATACTCCATGGTATGGGAGGGTTGTAGCACCGACTTTTCCCAGTTGATCACAAAACCCAAGTTCTGCAGAAGCCACAGGACTGAGTCCCTGTCCCTTAATATGCCTTCCTGAATTTGGTTCAAAACAATTATGTCGTCTAGATAAATTATCATCCTCAAACCCAGGCGACGCAAAAGCGACACTACTGGCTTCAACAGCTTTGTGAACAATAGAGGAGCTGGTGCTAACCCAAAGCGAAGGCAAGTGAATTGATACAGTTCTTCCCCCCAGGTGAACATTAGGAAACGTCGATGTTGTTTGCTCATGGGTACTGAAAAATAAGCATCCTTGAGGTCGATTTTGATCATGTAATCCTTGTTTTGAACAAGTTGTTTGAGGAGGTGCAGACCCTCCATTTTGTAGTGCTGGTATGCGATGTGTGAATTCAACTCTTTCAAATTGAGCACAGGCCTGCTCCCCCCATCCTTCTTCGGTACTAAAAATATTGGACTGAGAAAGTCCTCTTTGCGTGGAGAGACCACCTGAAACGCTTCCTTCTGCAGCATTGCCACAACTTCCTGCTTGATTTTTTCCTTTTCTAACTGGGTATGAGTGTGGGGAACTGGATGTCTGTTTTGAACAGGGGTTTCCAGAAATGGTATTTTGACCCCCGAGACTATCTGCAGAATAAACTGATCCCCAGTTAGACATTCCCAATTTTTCTGGAAATACTGGAGTCTCCCTGCAAGGGGTAGAGGCAAGTGTGAAATTGATGTATCTAGCCCTAGATTTTTCAAGGCAGGATGGATGTTCAGCTGAACAGTCTGTTGTGGAATGCCCAGAACCTGGTCTGAGAGGTGACAGGTGTGATTCGGGTGATCTCCGCTTGACCTCGAATGTAATGAGCAAGGACTTGCCTTTAAAAGGATATCCTTTGTCTCCTCTGTAACCACTGCCTCTGTAGCCACTTTCTCTGCCCCGGAACTGAGTAGGTCGGCCCCCACCTCGGCTCTGAAATGAGGGCCCTTGGCGAAAGGGTTGGTATTTCATGACAACATTTCTATTGGCACCATTCTTTTGAATTTTCTGGTGAGGGGGGCCAGTAATATGGTGAGAAATCTCTTTTGAAGACTTTCTCAATTGTGTGGCCTTGTGGAGAGCCTTGTAGAACTTTTTGCCAAACAAGGTTTTATGAGGCTTTGCTAATGACGTCGGATGCTTCTTAAGCAAGCTTTTAGCCTTTTTCATTTCCCCTGTTAGGCGAGAAAGAACTCCCAATCGTCGTGTATATAACAAATTTACATTGGCTTGTCCAAGCAATGTAATAGACTGCTCAACCAGTTTTAAGCATGCATACAGGTCAAGTTGTGTATCGGATTTACGAGTTCTGAGCCTCCTCCTCCAGTACAAGCCACAGCTTGCCGAGGGGTCCCATAACATTAGAAACCCGAGATTGCACTTTCACAAGGCTATTATCCGACTCTTTGCCGTAAGATTTGCCCATAGTTTCAAATATTTCCCCAAGATAATCATCAATCTTTGGGGTTTGAAGGCATTGAATATTCGGCACAGGGTTTGCATCAAGTACTGTTTCCTGAATATCCTTGTCTGGAACATAGGATGTAAATTTATTTGCTAAGTACTTCACCATGTCTTTTGGTAAAACCAATTTTTCACAAGTTGTGTTATCCGTGTCAAAGCGCACGTAAACATCAACGTCAGACCCGGGGTCCGGTGAAGTGTCCCTTCGCGTTGCTTGTGTCTTTGGCGTTGCCTTTCGCTCTGGTGAAGATTTACGCTTCTTGCGACGTTTGTAGTCACCATCTTTGCTGCTAGCAGATTCGTCTGAGTCGCTGTTATCGCTAGAACTCGATGACGAAGAGCTACTAGAGCTTTTAGAACTACTAGAGGTCTCAGAATGCCTCCGTTTTGTAGCACGTTGTTTACCTTTCAACCCAGTGGGCGAAGGTGTCAACTCGTTGTCTTCAACCGTCGCTACGGCGTCTACAACGTTCAAGGACAACGCAGGGGAAACTTCCCCGTCCTCTGCCATCGTTTCTGTAACTTTTGAGTCAGGATGGCTCTGCTTTGTGAAGGATTGCAATTGAAAAACACTCTGAAACGAGAGACGTGCCGCGAGCTAACGAGAAGCCATTTTGGAGAAGGAAGGGGAAGCATGGGAACGAGTCTTTTGGGGGTCTCGTTATGACTTTGAAGGGCTTGAATTAACCGGAAGCCGGGGCGAATACGTTATTATATCTTATGGAGGTTTGTGAAATGAAATTGATTTTATCATTGATAAATTTATACACCCCTCAACAGTAGAACACTTTGTCCCTAAGCCGGCGGGGCGAAGCGCCGTGCGAGGGTACTAATTCCGCACGGCTAATTATACCCGGGTATGTGAAAACATAGCGGAGTGGAAAGTTGCCCTCCATTTTGTTTATGTCATGGACGGTTTTCCACGTTAGGCGCATGCGCGAGTACAAGCTATTTTGAAAGGACGTATTTTGAACGTATTTTACTGTTTTACAGCAATTTTTGTTTTAAATTTCGTTAAAATGTTTTCAAAAGTACAACACGGTTTTTGTTCCTGTTTTATACCTGGAAATAAGCCTGCAGTTTCATGAATTAGTGGCTGTTCAACCGTGAAACAAAGTTTGTATATTAAAATACTGTAATTGTTTTGATGTTTTGATGTTGATATCTTTGGTATAATTTAATCGTTGTTGTGCCGGTTTGGGTAAGTGTAAACATTTCAGAAGTAAAATTCCATGCTGTACTTGCTTTGTGTTGTTGGTTTTATTCATATCTGCGAACTTTTTAAGCCGTTAACTCGATAATTCACTATAATGCAAGCTGGTATGCGTGAAATTGCAGCGAATATTCTCGTTCATTATAAAGCTAGCGCATCAGTTGTGTTTTTATGTTTGTTTATATTAATTATAATGGTCTTAATACTTTATGTAGAGCTTTTATACTTCATCTGTTAAGAAAGGCGAGGGCCGGGTTGCTGCATGTATGTATTTTCTAGTATAGAATAATAGAAAAAACACAAAAGGTCAATGCAAAAAAAACGATAAAAATATCGAGAAATTTCACAAATATTCATGTCATGCGTTTTTAATATTTTATATAAATTAAATTAATAATAATAATATAATCTTTATTTATACTGATAAAAAAGACCGTTCAGTCAATTACATAGATTGGCTGGTATCAATCGGTGATCAGTGTATAACAAGTATACACAATGACATAAGTGCGTAACAGTGCATAAATAAGACTATATAATGTAAAGGCCCGTTTGCACCTGCAATTTCCGCAGCGACCCCAGACGCGACCCCCCTCCCCCGATGCATGCGAACGAGCAGATGAGCAATGAATGTTCTGAGTATATGTACCTTCATCTGAATATTCATAACTCATCCACCCGCCCACACCCACCAAAAGAAAAAGACCGCACCCAAAATCGCAGCAAAAATTACAAGTGTAAACCCCCTAAGTTGTCTAACATTACAAAATTAAATTAACATAGGTTAGTTGTATATAAAACTTGTTGACTCATGCATGAGCCAGTACTAAACGTACTAGCTAGCACAGCACCTGAAACATTAATTGAGTCGGTTCTTCGATTAAAATCTTCGCTTTTGCCTTTTCGATGTCTTGTGTTATTGTTTATCTCTTTATATTCAGTCCAAAATACGGTATTTCTGTCGAATTTCTTGCCGGCCGAAAATGACGGTAAGTTGCTTAGCAACTGATAGCAACTGATGGACGCCATCTTGGATCAGACTTGGTTACATGGCAAAGTCGAAAAAGTCAGCCCAAAATATTATTCTGCGTGCGTCTCACTAAATTTGCGTGTTTGCTGCCGCAGCGAGCAAGCCTGAAGCGAGCGAGCAAGGCAGCAGCCCTAATCTTTATGTATATGTATTATATATATGCAGATGAAATCTCGATCGTTTCGACGTATTTCGGCCTCCCACAATGCACTGCTTCCGGGACGCAGGCTACTCTTGCCTAATAAACAACCATAACGCAATCCGACAAAAACCATGCATAAACACCTAGTAATCCGACACAAAGTTTATATTAAAAATCTGTTCAACAAGCGTTATATGTCTTGCATATAAGTCGTAATTTTAGCTACTTTGAATTGATTTCTGCTCTATTTGATCAAGTTATAAATTCGTTTAAGACCAGTAGCGAATGACACACATTCGACTGGGTGGAAAGCTCCATTAAAGATTAATATTGTCAGTGGATTGCATTACTTTGGTGAATTTATATCAAAAAGTTTAATACAAAATAAGACGCCTCAGTGGTCAAGGCGTCCAGGCTGTAGAGTTGGGCACTTTTCGACGAGATCTCGGGAGCGCAAATGTCAGAAAATCGAAGCGCAGTTGCCGCGCAAAACAGTTCAGAAGTGCGCATCAAGATGCAGTCAGGGGCACAAAAGTAGCGAGATTCATGTAAATTACCATGCGTAAAACACCTAGCAATCCGACAAAAACCATGCAAAAACGCCATCCGACACAAAGTTCATATTAATCTGTTCAACAAGCGTGAGCTACCTTCATAAAATATGTCTGTATATTAACCTAATAGTTTCATTATATATATTTGTAAATACATTAATTAATTAATTAATTAAATAATTAAGTAATTGTTTTTAGTAATGTAATTGTCCACACGGCCGTTTGAAAATCACTCCTTGTGAAGGCTACCGTGTTGTTAAATAAGATTAATAATAATAACAATAATAATAATAAAAATGACTCCGTCGAAGACCCCGTCCGTCAAAATCGACAAACGGCATGGAACTGAGCGGGTTTAAAATTGGTGTTCTGCGCGTAGCAAGCGCCCACGATCACAATTCCATGCGCTAAATAAAATTTAGTAAAAACTTCCCTCTCTGCACACATTAGCCATAGGCTGCTGTTACGATCGCTCGCTTCAGGCTCGCTCGCTCCGCGGCAAATATGCTAACAAGATGGTTCAATTGTCAATTTCCGTTAAATATAGAGCCTGAATACCGTTACCATATTCATGGAATTCAATGAATTGTTACTAAAATGTAGCACTACAAGCGTTTAAATCTTATTCTGACTATACGCAATGCCTCATCCGGATTTTAGCTATTTCCTAACATACGCATAGGCCAACATTGTATTATATAGCACATGAAAATTATCCGTGTGCAACAAAATTGCTAAAGGGATGAACAAATTATGAAAATATAACTACGTACAAAGCTTGATGATGTCTATATAAGTTGAATTAAGTTACATTTAAAAGTAATGGTATCACTTCAACAGACTGTATATATATATATATATATATATATTATCTCAAAATTGCTTATCTTAACCACTTCTTGCAGCATTAAAAACATCAAAAGGTCGGAACCCAAGATTAATGGCATCAGTTCCATTCAGTGAATCTTCATGTAAAACATGTTGTGGTGCAATTGCGGACTGAGATTTGGCCACTTCTTCGAGTTCGGCGGACGAAGTGTGAAATAATCCCGTGGCATTAGCAGACAGAGGAGGCAACGCAAGGCGGGGTATATTCTGTAGCTCTGATAGAGTAAGTCCTGAAAGTTGAAAAACAGAACTTTTGAAAACTGAATACACAAAATATAAAGAGACAGCATGCATAAGAATAGGTTTTTTTACAATTACGCCATACGTGAATAAACGCTTCGGCTTCAGTCCGCTTTTCCCGCGCAAAGCCTAAAGGTGATGTGACATGGAAACATTTGCGATGTAAATCATTCAAAGGCAATCAAATGTGATATCATTTGCATTGCGAATTTTTTATAAAAACTGGTTCGGTGAAGTAGTAACGCATTTGGTATTTTATCTGCGTTTGACGTCAATTATGTCAAAGGCTGTTGAGGCCGACTTACGGATGTGATCAAATGAAGTGACAGAAAGAATTAGAGCAGTTTGCGGTTGTTTTTGCAAACAAGCACCGTGCAAATTATGCCATTGGTCGTGCTTCTTTTGCCAAAGAACGAACGCCTACTCCAGCCCGATTGCCGGTTGTAAAAGACCCGATGTGCAGGCAAACAATGCGCGCAAATCAGGCTGTTCCTTTCCAATTGTTTAACTGCCCCACATTCTAGTAACCACAAAGATTCACAGATGTTGCTTCGGCTGTTGAAATCAGTCAATTAGAAAATTAGGATAGTAGCGAGTCGAAGGATTTCTTAGAGCGCCTTAGAGCGGCTGCGGGACACAAGGCTTAACTGGAATGCAGTCCTCCCTCTACCGTCTATTTCTAAACAGGGTATACTTTAATAACTTACCCTTAATAATTGTGGACACATTATTCACTACATCCGCATACTCAACGCATATACAATCAGGCTGTTCGCTCAAATCTAAAAAATCTTTTGGTCTATTCCTCGTTCCAGGCATCTTTCCCTTCTGATTGGTGAAGAATATATTAAACTTGTGCTTTTTTCCTTTTCCCTGCCAATCTGACCAAATTTTATCAATGAATGCGTGATGAGGAAAAAATTCGGGTGCTGCCGCTGCGTTTTTGCTGTTCATAGTCCCGCCAATTCGAGAATGAAATTGGTTGTGGAAAACGACCCTAAGTTGAGATTCGAATTTAAGAAAGTCTTTTGGGTCGGGGTTTGAGGTTAATAAACTTGCAAGTGTAATAACATCTGGGAATCGATCGTTGAAATTTCGTTTTAGGCAGCCTCTCCCGGCGCTACGAATTAATGACCATTTTCCCTCCCCGAAAGGACCGGTTTTAACACAGCTTCCGGGGGGCGAGCCGTTTCCACCAAATCCTCGCGCTTCTGGGTTCCAGAAATCGTTAACAAATGGTTTTGCCGCAACTAGAGTCCAGTCCCAATAGGGTACGGTGACACGACAATCGATTTTCTGTAAGAGATTTTCGTATTGTAATATGAACCAACGATGCCAAGTTAAGAAAAAGTCTTTCATGTGAATTCTTTGTAAGAATAACTCCATATGTAGGGTTAGCAGTTGTTCGTATGCTTTTTTGTACTTCTGGTTGGTTGAGGCAGTT